GACGGTCTCGCTTCATGCAGGTCGGCGTTCAATCCCCAACCGTCCCAGTGGTTGGGCACCATTCCTTTCCTCCCGTCCCATCCCAAATCCTTATCCTGATCCTTTTCCCAAGGCTAATTGGCCGTATTGGCTTGACGCTTTCCCCCTGATAATTCCCTTCCTTTCCTAATATACGACAAACACCACGTCAATGACAAACACACCACTAATTCCCACGTGACAAACAACTCTCGCTAACACACTCACAATTTCAAAATAACAGTATAGTTAACAATGTTAATAAAATACCAGTATAGTTAACAATGTTAATAAACTCAGCAAGTTAAATCTCAGAGTCTGGAAAGTTTAAGCAAAATAACCCTGCAACAAGTCACCTGATATCCCAGATGGCTTTACAACAGAATCCAGCAATCAGGCAGGGCTTTATCTGATACAGATAATCAGGGGCTGGGCCGGCTTTAAGCTCAGCCATTGTGAGCCTGACACGGAGAGCTGAGAGAGAGAGAGAGAACATCATCCCAGCACCCAGGGGCTGGGATGACGACGATGTCACGTCTCCAGCTGTGGTATAGCTCCTTTAATTGACGATTAGGAGATTGCAAGACGAATAGGACTCGAATGCAATGAGACACGACTCGGACACAGTCGAGTCTCAAGGCACCTAATTGTGCTCGACTCGGGACTCGAACACAATTAGGTGCCTTGCAGTGCCCCCGGGGCATCGAGTCCAGCATCATCACGTCATCTGGGTATGGGGCACCAAATGCCCATCTACCAAACTCGAGGGATAATAACATGGTGTCATTCGCCAGTTCTTTATTAAGGGAAAATTCCTGTCGGTACTTGAGGAAAAATCCCCAGATGTGGAGCCCAGCAAGAAGCAGCGTGGTCTTGTAACTGGAACTGCTACTGTGGCGCGAGAGACAGTCAGAGCGGACTTGCGGGACTGAAGATTGCAGGAAATGTGTGTTCATAGCACCGCGACTTTGTTCTGAGGGAGAAGAGACTTGCGTTGCAACAGCGAGCGACAAGCCCGAAAGTACTGGTTATGTTATATTGAATATTTGTGAGAAACGTACACACATACACACACACACACACACACACACACACACACACACACACACACACACACACACCACACACACACACACACACACACACAACATGTGTGTATAACAATTCACAAGACAATATTCACAATATTCACAACAACATGACAGTTAACACTATAATTGAGAAGGCAGCCTCTGCTGTCTGTAGAAATATATCCCATCTGCTCATCATGATGGACTTCAGTCACGGAAGGATAGACTGGGAGCACAAGGAACCGCACGGAGGGAAGGATACATGGAGAGCCAAACTAATGGAGGTGGCGACAAGAAACTTTCTAAGCCAACATGTCAGGGAACCCATTAGGATGAGAGGAAACGATGAACTAGCGAGACTCGACCTAGTCTTCACTCTGAACGACTCCGACATAAGGGAAATCGGGAAATCTTTCCCTCTGTCCGTTTCGTGAAGGACTTCATCTCCCATTTTCTATCCTGTGTCTGGCCTCCTGTTTCCACGGGAGTTTCCGCAATATGGTACTGGTACTGTGGTACTGGTACTGTGGTACTGGTACTGTGGTACTGGTACTGTGGTACTGGTACAGGTGGTACTGGTACTGTGGTACTGGTACTGTGGTACTGGTACTGTGGTACTGGTACTGTGGTACTGGTACTGTGGTACTGGTACTGTGGTACTGGGTGTGTCAGAGGCTGTGTACCAATACAGGAAGCAAGACACATGTCTGCGGAAATTAAAGTTGAAAAGGAATCGACACTTGTGGAAAGACGGACTGTCACCCCCCTGGCACGCATGGCACGGACTGTCACCCTCCCCTGGCACGCATGGCACGGACTGTCACCCTCCCCTGGCACGCATGGCACGGACTGTCACCCTCCCCTGGCACGCATGGCACGGACTGTCACCCTCCCCTGGCACGCATGGCACGGACTGTCACCCTCCCCTGGCACACATGACACGGACTGCCACCCTCCCCTGGCACGCATGGCACGGACTGTCACCCTCCCCTGGCACACATGGCACGGACTGTCACACCCCCCTGGCACACATGGCACGGACTGTCACCACCCCTGGCACTCATATGGCACCCTGAGTGAAGTAATCACATGTATCACCCACGAAAGTGATACAGTACAAAGCCAAAAACAAAGTATTACCCCGGTTCTTTCCCCTCGTCCATTCCACTTTCCTTCCCTCCTCCTATCCCTTCCCCTTGCTCCTATACCCCGTCCCCTCACCCCCCTATCCCTTCCCTAGCCCCCCCCCACCCCTCGGCTACCTTCACCCCCCCCCCCCTGAATATAATACACCGCCTCGTGAATACCAAAATTTCCAACCTTGCATCTATTGAATTACCAGCGCTGATCATCCAGTCGCTTGTTCTATTGGGCGGTAAATTCAGTTTCATTCCTGTCTCACTGAAGCGGTGTTATTCCTGTTTCAGGGCTGGAGTTTTGTCAGGTTTCAGGGCTGGAGTTTTGTCAGGTTTCAGGGCTGGAGTTTTATCAGGTTTCAGGGCTGGAGTTTTATCCAGTTTCAGGGCTGGAGTTTTATCAGGTTTCAGGGCTGGAGTTTTATCCAGTTTCAGGGCTGGAGTTTTATCAGGTTTCAAGGCTGGAGTTTTATCAGGTTTCAGGGCTGGAGTTTTATCAGGTTTCAGGACTGGAGTTTTATCAGGTTTCGTTGTTGTAGTTTCATCCTTGGACGCAACTCATTCCTGAATTGTCGTTTGCGGAGTGTCATTTCTGTCTCTGTTTCAGTTCTGTCGTTTCATCCCGGATCCACTGGCGATGTTTTATTCTATAAATACTATAGTTTCCTCACTGTTTCCACGCTACAGTTTAATAACTGTTTTTAGCAGGCTCAGCGCTTCAGTTTCATAGCCGCTAAAGTGTGTCAAAGTTTCATCGACGTTTCAGTGACACAGTTCATTACTGTTTCAGTGCTATAGTTTTATCATAGCTTTAGTTATACAGTTCTATAGCTGATTCAGTTTTGCAGTTCCGCAACCGTTTCACTGCTATATTTCCGCCCCTTGTACCAACACCAAAGTGTTTCAAACCCGTTTCACCGCATCCGTTTCATCCTAGTTTCGACATCACAGTTTAGATCAGAGTTGTGTCAACTGAAAATATTCCAGTGTTTACTAAGATAACCGCCCAAAATATTACCTGTGTAATAGCAGGGGAAGTGAGAGTGAGGGCTCCCGGGACACGCAGACTCAGGAGAAAAAAAGTAGTACAAAACAGCGCACTATTTATATAAAAGGGGGAGGGGGGGGGAGTAATCTGGTCAGGGGTGGATAACATGGTGACTGATGGTTCAGAGTCAGGGCTCTGAGGCTCCCTCAATTGGATTAGCCTAGACTGGCAGGATAAATTTCTGTAATTATTGTGGATAGTGTGTTGACTGTGGGGGGGGGGGGAATGGGGGTGCCTTACAGGAGGGAGTTGATGGCTTGGAGGGGAATTGAATGAAGGGGGGGGGAGGGGGGGGGTTAGTTGTTAGCTAGGTGGGAAGGGGAGTTGATGGTGGTTGGGAGGGAACTGCGTCTAGTAGAAATTTAGAGTGGTTGGGAGGAGGAACTCTGAGCTTCAATGGTGGGGATTTGAACAGCCTCCATGTTAGGATGATGGGGGGGGGGGGGGGGGTCGTTAAGAGGCGAGCCCCCCGTCATGCTGACCCCCCCCCCCCCATATCTTTAAGCCAGGCACGAGAGACCAGGCACGAGAGGCCGAGCACGAGAGCCTGGTACTGTACTAACATGGTCCGTGGAAGGGACAGCAGTTTCCTACCCGGGTACGAACCAGGTTCACTTAAGTCATGGGGCGACCACCAATACTGACACTAAGAGCCACGTTTATATTCACTATTCCTTGGGCCGTAAAGTGTGAGGCTTTTATGGAATATGAAAAAATTCGAAATAATCGGTTTTCTTTTTTGAGATATTAGAATCAGTGTAGAGAGTTGGGTGGGTGTAGGTTCGTACACCTTTATACAGTGAAGCACACTTATTGTACGCTGCTCATATCTTGGGGGTCCAGGGGTGTATATCTCGCTATCGTGAGGAATATACACCTGCGGGTATATCTTGGGGTCTTGGGCCTCGTGGGGTCCTGGACCTCGTGGGATCCTGGGCCTCGTGGGGTTCTGAGCCTCGTGGGGTCCTGGACCTCGTGGGGTCCTGGGCCTCGTGGGGTCCTAAACCTCGTGGGATCCTGGACCTCGTGGGGTCCTGAACCTCGTGGGGTCCTGGGCCTTGTAGGGGGTCCTGAACCTTGTGGGGTCCTGGACCTCGTGGGGTCCTGGACCTCGTGGGGTCCTGGACCTCGTGGGGTCCTGGGCCTCGTGGGGTCCACCTCGTGGGGTCCTGAACCTCGTGGGGTCCTGGACCTCATGGGGGTCCTCGTAACCTCGTGGGGTCCTGGACCTCGGGGTCCTGGGGTCCTGGACCTCGTGGGGTCCTGGACCTCGTGGGATCCTGGACCTCGTGGGGTCCTGGACCTCGTGGGGGTCCTGGGCCTTGTAGGGGGTCCTGAACCTTGTGGGGTCCTGGGCCTTGTAGGGGGTCCTGAACCTTGTGGGGTCCTGGGCCTCGTGGGGGTCCTGGGCCTCGTGGGGTCCACCCCTCTGCGACTCACCCTTGACGAACCAACACTTTATACTGGCACACTCTCAGATAAAGTTTAATTGCTTACCTGGTTTTGGCTTCCCAGCCCAAGCTGTTGCTGCCGGAACACGAGGCGCCGAGGAGGAAGTTGACATCTCTCGAAACTAATTTGAATCTCATCCCAAAGTCGTCATTGTCTCTCGCTCTCTCTCCATTTATTCTCTGCTTTATATTTCCAAAACAGCATCTGTTTTGGAAATAATTTCTTCTGGGAAAAAACCCTGTGTTTGTAAAGCTGGATATCTGCTGTAATTCGGGTCATTTGAGTGTTAGTAAATGCCTGGGAGGTCAAGGGGTACTATGGTTGGTCGAGGACCTCGACCAACCTCTAATGGTGTTGGTCGAGGACCACTGTGGTGCAGTGTGGCCACCCCGCTGTTAATGGTGTCCGGCTGGCCACCTGGACCACTCTGTGGTGTCCTCAGTGTGGTCCACACTGTGGTGTCATCAGTGTGGTCCTGGACACTGTGGTGTCCTCAGTGTGGTCCTGGACACTCTGTGGTGTCCTCTGGTTACACTGTGGTGTCATCAGTGTGGTCCTGGACACTCTGTGGTGTCCTCAGTGTGGTCCTGGTCACACTGTGGTGTCCTCAGTGTGGTCCTGGTCCTGGTCACACTGTGGTGTCCTCAGTGTGGTCCTGGTCACACTGTGGTGTCCTCACTCTGTGGTGTCCTCAGTGTGGTCCTGGTCACACTGTGGTGTCCTCAGTGTGGACACTCTGTGGTGTCCTCAGTGTGGTCCTGGTCACACTGTGGTGTCCTCAGTGTGGTCCTGGTCACTGTGGTGTCCTCAGTGTGGTCCTGGTTACACTGTGGTGTCCTCAGTGTGGTCCTGGACACTGTGGTGTCCTCAGTGTGGTCCTGGTCACACTGTGGTGTCCTCAGTGTGGTCCTGGTCACACTGTGGTGTCCTCAGTGTGGTCCTGGTCACACTGTGGTGTCCTCAGTGTGGTCCTGGACACACTGTGGTGTCCTCAGTGTGGTCCTGGTCACACTGTGGTGTCCTCAGTGTGGTCCTGGTCACACTGTGGTGTCCTCAGTGTGGTCCTGGTGTGGTCCTGGTCACACTGTGGTGTCCTCAGTGTGGTCCTGGTCACACTGGTGTGGTGTCCTCACTGTGGTGTCCTCAGTGTGGTCCTGGACACTCTGTGGTGTCCTCAGTGTGGTCCTGGTCACACTGTGGTGTCCTCAGTGTGGTCCTGGTCACAGTGTGGTCCTGTGGTGTCCTCAGTGTGGTGGACACCTGTGGTCCTCAGTGTGGTCCTGGACACTCTGTGGTGTCCTCAGTGTGGTCCTGGTCACACTGTGGTGTCCTCAGTGTGGTCCTGGACACTCTGTGGTGTCCTCAGTGTGGTCCTGGTCACACTGTGGTGTCCTCAGTGTGGTCCTGGACACTCTGTGGTGTCCTCAGTGTGGTCCTGGTCACTGTGGTGTCCTCAGTGTGGTCCTGGACACTCTGTGGTGTCCTCAGTGTGGTCCTGGTCACACTGTGGTGTCCTCAGTGTGGTCCTGGTCACACTGTGGTGTCCTCAGTGTGGTCCTGGTCACACTGTGGTGTCCTCAGTGTGGTCCTGGTCACACTGTGGTGTCCTCAGTGTGGTCCTCAGTGTGGTCCTGGTCACACTGTGGTGTCCTCAGTGTGGTCCTGGTCACACTGTGGTGTCCTCAGTGTGGTCCTGGACACTCTGTGGTGTCCTCAGTGTGGTCCTGGTTACACTGTGGTGTCCTCAGTGTGGTCCTGGTCACACTGTGGTGTCCTCAGTGTGGTCCTGGACACTCTGTGGTGTCCTCAGTGTGGTCCTGGACACTCTGTGGTGTCCTCAGTGTGGTCCTGGTTACACTGTGGTGTCCTCAGTGTGGTCCTGGACACTCTGTGGTGTCCTCAGTGTGGTCCTGGTCACTGTGGTGTCCTCAGTGTGGTCCTGGTCACTGTGGGGTCCTCAGTGGGGCCCTAACCTAACCTGCCACTATTGATAATTCTACATATCGTCTTTCAAATATGAAAGAAGATATGAAGTACTAATCATTGTATACACTAGCTGAGGCTTGGGCGAGCACATTTAGGTGAGTACTGGAGCAAACACATATACTCAACCTAATAGGACTCACAAACATATCCAAAAATAATTCAATATTTATATATTCAGATTATATGCAGCATGTATAACTACCAAACAAATTTCAGGATTTATTAAAACAAACCCTCGTTTTATAAATGCGTTTTCCAGACAAAATATTCACGCCGTTTTCTATATATATATTTTTTTCCATAACATTTACAGGGAATATTAATTTAAATTTTGTTTGTTGTAATTCCCTTTGTTGAGGTTCCACTAGGGCATTCGCTGAGCCTTCTTAGGATTCAACCCCCACAATAGTTGCCTAAATCCCAGGTATATACCTATTTTACTCTGGTGATCAGATGTATCAGGTGAAAGGAAACGTGCTCAACTGTTACTGTCCTGTTCGGGGGATTTGAACCCGGGTCCCATGGTTGTGAGCCTAGCACGAAGACTACTGTGCTACAGCGTCAGTTTTCACGAATCAATCAGTTGGTTTGATAACGTAAATTTGTTTTTCATCTAAAGTTTTCAAATTATATCCAATTTAAAAAATAGATGATAAAGAAAAATAATGTTTGAAAAATAGGAAGAGTTTGTTATATTGGCAGGTGAAGCTGGCAGCCAAGATTGGCAGGTGAAGCTGGCAGCCAAGATTGGCAGGTGAAGCTGGCAGCCAAGATTGGCAGGTGAAGCTGGCAGCCAAGATTGGCAGGTGAAGCTGGCAGCCAAGATTGGCAGGTGAAGCTGGCAGCCAAGATTGGCAGGTGAAGCTGGCAGCCAAGATTGGCAATGGTTATGTATAGAAGCCTTGTCTGCTGGTCACTTGGCAAAGGGGAACTTGTCTGCTGGTCACTTGGCAGGGGGGGGGACTTGTCTGCTGGTCACTTGACTGGGAGGGACTTTTCTGCTGGTCACTTGGCGGGGGGACTTGTCTGCTGGTCACTTGGCAGGGACGGCCTTGTCTGC